GACTTTTGACCCTTCAAATCCCACAACCAACGTTTTACGTTCCCTTTTATGGCTAACTTTAACAATTTATTTCTCACTCACCGAAAACCAGTTTTGAGAAAATAAATATACCACGAGTATCTACTCGGAACGTAGAATTTTTCTAAAATATTTAATTCAACTCAAATTAAATATTTAGCCATCAAAAATTCAGTCAAAATCGGGTCAAACCCATATTTTATAACTGATTTTTCCAACACGCAGAAGATGTTGTCCCGAGATCTTCACACAACATTATAATTGACCTAAACGTCGACGATAGCCCGGAAATTGGATACCCTGTTAGCGAGCTCGACTTAAATCAACTTTATGAAGATGATGACGAAGCTAGGTCCGATTCATCTGTGGAAGAGGATATTGGCCAACAAGCTAATGGTGGAGAAGGAAATAGGGACATACAAGGGGTACTTCAAGGGCACGTAAATGGTGAAGCAAGTGAAAACAAGACAAGGTGAGTTATTTTTTTTTAAAAAAAAAAAAATCTTAGAAAAATGTTCTTTAATACATAGCTATACGTGATGCTTGTGTATTTAGGTTGAATATTATCTTTGTTTCCAGCTTATCATTTTTCCTTTTGTTTAAAGTTGAAAAACAAAAATTGTTAATTAGTATGAAATGGTTGTTTATTTATTGTAATTTAGTGTTCAAATTGAAAAATTCTACTGATTTGAATACATAGCTACTAATTGCATTACTTTGAAATTATGATTACAAACAGTAGTTTATCAAACGTTTTCCTGTTGACACTAGCTTGTTTTCTGCTGCATTACTTTTGTTGAGTGTTGTATTATTTGGATAATAATTAACTCTGCTTTTCTTCACCACAGTAAAAAAAAGCTACAGACAATAAAGAAAAAAAAAAAGAAAGAAAAGCTACAGAAAAAATGCTTAGATATGAGGAGCAGAGACATCTCAATGGAGAACTAATCTTTCTTTCTTTCTTTTTTTCTTTTTTTTTTTATGTAGCTTTTTTTTTTACTTTTGAAAATTTCTGTTGGAAAAAAATCATTTGTTTTTTGGGTGTTGGTTTTTTTTTCTTTTTCATAATCATTGTGATGAAAAAAAATAATGTTAAGAAATTGTTTTCTGGTATTTTCTATTTCATCTTGGCTCTCCTTCAATTGAAGCATTTTGTTCTGTATGTTATTAATTCAAATTGCTTGGTTCTCTATGTTAAATTTGGTTACCACTATTTTGATAGGCAATGTTCAAGGGAGAAAGAAAAGGACTCTATCTAACGCTGAACGTTGGGCAATTTACCATGCTTAATTTGTTGGAGAAAAGTGTAAATGGTAAATTGAAAAAGAATACAACAAAAGAAGTGAAAGATATGTGCAATATTGAGGAGTTGCGAACAGTTCAAAGGATATGGAAAATTCACAAAAGAACTCCACCGGCTCAGATGTGGATGTTTCATCGAGAAAGGCACGAAACTGTGGTCGTAAACGAATTGAGGTGGATTAAAATAGAATTCAACTGATAGAGTGGCATCAACGAACAACACTTGCATCTCTTTCTAATGCTTTAGGAGTTAGTTGTTCCAAATTGTACAGCCTTTTAAGCGAGGCGTTCTACGTCGTCACTCAAGTGCCATCAAACCACATTTGAAAGACAAAAACAAAACATCACGACTAGAGTTATGTTTATCGATGCTTGATGAAAGCACAACGTCGAGCGAGCCAAATTTTAAGGGAATGTATAACTATGTTCACATCGATGAGAAATGGTTTTACATGACAAAGAAGGAGCAAACATATTACCTGCTCGACAATGAAGAAGATCCTCACCGTTCGTGCCAAAGTAAAAATAACATTGAAAAAGTCATGTTTCTAGCAGCCACGACTCGTCCTAGATTTGATGGTGAAGGAAGGGTAGTATTTTCAGGCAAAGTTGGATGTTGGGCGTTTGTAACAGAGCAACCGGCCCAAAGGAGTAGCAGGAACAGGCAAGCTGGCACGATGGAGATGAAGGCGATCACATCTGTTAGACGAGAGAATGTGAAAGCGGTTTTAATTGAAAAGGTTATCCCAACTATTATTAAAAAATGGCCTAGCTCCGGAGAAACTATTTATATCCAACAAGATAATGCTAGGACACACGTCCCTCCTAATGACCCTGATTTTGTAGCAGCAGCTTCAAAAAATGGCTTTGACATTCGATTAATTTGCCAACCCCTTAATTCTCCATATTTGAATATACTTGACCTTGGATATTTTAAGGCTATACAGTCGCTACAACAAAAAATGTGTGCAAGGAATATCCATGAGCTTATAAGTGCGGTAGAGAATGCATTCTCTGACTATTCACCCATCAAGCTCAATTGTGTGTGGCTGACATTGCAATTATGTATGAAAGAGATCATGAAACTAGGAGGAGGAAATCGATATAAAATCCCTCACATAAACAAAAAACGACTACAAAGACTAGGTGAACTTCCTACACAAATTTCATGTGAGTGTCTACCTTAGTGCAAGCGACTAGAGAATTGTTAGCAGCACGACAAGGTAAATCAATGATAGCATTTGCTTCTCGTCTTCATATATTCAACTATTATTGATAATATTTTCATTTCTTGTAGGGAACCGTTCGATTGGAGGTGGATTGGAAGAGCTTTAGATGAAATTGGTGATGCTTGTTGTTATTGTCCGTTGTTTTTGTAGACTTTGTTATGTTTTGTGAAATCCGGTTAAAAGAATCTTCTTGTCTTGCTTCTGTTTATGTCAAAATGTGTGTTCTCTGTAGACTTTTTTCTGTTTTGTGAGGAGAATTGCATGAAAGATTTGATGATCAAAGAATTAGCATTTTGGCTATTGTTGGTTTTTATGTTTGCTTAAAGATCAAGCTTTATACCTCCTATCGAATAAACGAAAAACTGAAAGAATCGAGAAAAACGAAGCCTTATTCGCTCATTTTGCTACTATTCCTTCGTGAACTCGAGCTTCTCTAAATAAAATGCTCGGAGCTCCGAAATACTCGATAAATGTCCCACATGACATCGGGCCTGAATTATCTACATGTCCCAACTCGATTCTCAGTAAACAGAACTCACACGGGATCTTGTGGGACCCACATAAACGGCCTTTTTATTTATTTTACTAATATGCACCCTCGAACTCGAGCTTCTCTAAATAAATGCTCGGAGCTCCGAAATACTCGATAAATGTCTCGCATGACATCTTCCCTGATTTACCTACATGTCCCAACTCGATTCTCGGTAAACCAAAGTAACACACGATCTTGCGGGACCCACGTAAATGGCTTTTTTTTATTTATTTTACTAATATGCACCTTCGAACTCGAGCTTCTCTAAATAAATGCTCGGAGCTCCGAAATACTCAATAAATGTCCCATATAACATCGTCCATGAATAATCTACACGTCCCAACTCGATTCTCGGTAAACCGAAGTCACACGCGATCTTGCGGGACCCACGTAAATGGCTTTTTTATTTATTTAACTAATATGCACCCTCGAACTCGAGCTTCTCTAAATAAATGCTCGTAGCTCCAAAATACTCGATAAATGTCCCGCATGATATCGTGCCTGAATGATCTACACGTCCCAACTTGATTCTCGGTAAACCGAAGTCACACGCGATCTTGCGGGACCCACGTAAACGGCTTTTTCATTTATTATACTAGTATGCACCCGCGAACTCGAGCTTCTCTAAATAAATGCTCGGAGCTCCAAAATACTCGATAAATGTCCCGCATGACATCGTGCCTAAATTATCTACCCGTCCCAACTCGATTCTCGGTAAATTGAAGTCACACACAATCTTTTGGGACCCACGTAAATGGCTTTTCCATTTATTTTACTAATATGCACCTTTGAACTCGAGCTTCTCCAAATAAATATTGGGAGCTCCAAAATACTCGGTAAATGTCCCGCATTACATCGTGCCTGAATTATCTACACATCCAAACTCGATTCTCGGTAAATCTAACTCACACGCGATCTTGCGGGGCCCACGTAAAAGGCTTTTTTATTTATTTTACTAATATGCACCCTCGAACTCGAGATTCTCTAAATAAATGCTCGGAGCTCTGAAATACTCGATAAATGTCCCGCATGACATCGTCCCTGAATTATCTACACATCCCAACTCTATTCTCGGTAAACCAAAGTCAAACGCGATCTTGCGGGACCCACGTAAATGGCTTTTTTATTTATTTTACTAATATGCACCTTCGAACTCGAGCTTCTCTAAATAATTGCTCGGAACTCCGAAATACTCAATAAATGTCCTGCATGAGATCGTGCCTGAATGATCTACACATCCCAACTCGATTCTCGATAAACTGAAGTCACACGCGATCTTGCGGGACCCACGTAAATGACTTTTTCATTTATTTTACTAATATGCACCCTCGAACTCGAGCTTCTTAGTATCAATCCTCGAGGCCTCGAAATAATAAATAAACATCACGAACGGCTTCTCCTCTTCTCGTGCTTTCTCGAAAGCACTCTCGCTAATACTCGACTCGCTTATTGAGGGCCGACGGGGCACCCGAAGTCGGGACATGAAAATAAGTCTAGTATATAGTGAAAAAATGAAGAAAATTTCTTTACTGCCATTTTTCTCTTCCCGGCGACCGGAAAGCTTGCGACTGACAAGACCATGTTGCACATCTTCTTCGGCGATGGCTAGTACGACTGTCGCTGCATCAATATCACCTGCCCCTGTTGGTCGGAATAAGAAAACCGACAAAACTTGCTTCTAGCCGGAAAAAATGGCAGACCCGCTGAATTCTTGCCGGAAAAAAACCAGCCACCTCATATCAGAAAACATTTTATAGCCATTCACACCCTCACAGAGCAACAAATTTTAGATTTTTTGTTGATACATTAGTTCAAACACGAGAGGGTACAGTACAGACAGAGAGCAATAATTCTTCTTTCACAATGCAATTCTTTCATACTGATGGTACTCAGAATAACCCAAAATATGTAACAACAAACATACCACACATTCTGAATTGTGATAAGATGAATTATGCAGTTTTCATTGCCAATACATATCCAGAAGCAAAAAAGATTTGCAAAAAAAAAAAGGTAAAATAATATCACAAGTCCTGTCCGGAATGGTCAAAATAACATCTGGGACAACCGATGGTTGATATTCGAATAATCAAAATCTTCATCCTTCAACTTTTTGATATAAATCCTTAAACAAAAGGTGTTGTCACATGAAAAATAGATTACTCGAGCAAAAAATATAGACGAACAAGACCCTCCGCTCAAAGCAAATCTTCCACGTTAGCCGGGAGCTTTTCGGAAAATAGACTGGGCACAAAAATCTTCAACATCTCATTCACAAATTCATCATTGGGTTGAGAAATTGTTTCACCATTAACAAGCTTCTCCTCAACCATTCCGACGCTTTTACCATCATCTTCAACGTCTGAATCAGGTACATTTTAAACGACTCCGTCGAATCACTAATTTGCAAAGCAATTGAATGGACATTATCTAAACTTGCCTTTGTCTTCTCCAATAATTGAAGTAATTCATCCACATTAAGTTTGTCAGATTTAATAAATTTAGCAAAGTCAATTTCTGGATTCGATTTTGTAGAATCTTAACCTTTTGAATCCATAAATCGTAAGATGAAAAAATAAAGAGGAGAACAATGGAACCGAAATCAAATAATTAGAAAAACTTTGATTAAAAGAGGCACACACAAATTGTGGAAGATAGTTGGAAAATATAAAGATATAAAGTGAGAGAAAAATGATTATAGCCATGGGAATAGAGATGATGTTCTTGAAAAGGATGCTGATGAGATATGGGGAGACGGGGGATATGGAGAGACAGATGGGGACAAAAAAAGAAAAATGAGAATAAAAAACCTAAAACGTCATTTATTTAACTAAATGTCAATAAAGGTAGAACGACATCTATAAGAAAATGGAGGGAGTAATATTAATATATTTTAAAGAAAACCTGAGAACAAAATAATGTAATTAGTATTTAAAACAATTTAAAAAGAAAACTAAAAAAATAGCTGCCGAGCCCGCCTTGGAGAGGCTAGGTCCGCCTATGCCCGCCTAGGAGAGGCTAGGTCTGCCTATGCCCGCCTAGGCGCCGCCTAACCGCCTAGCCGCCGAGCCCGCCAAGTCCGCCTAGGGCCACCTAGGCGCCGTCTAAACGATTTTTTCTACCGGTTTGTGCAAATCGGAGGTGCCCACAGCCTAGGCTAATTTTTAGAACAGTGGGGGTTTTGTTGTGTGGTTGAAGAAAACATTAAAAATGGGTGGACAGAACTATTGTAGTCCCGTTGACGGAATAGTTCCGTCAGTGATTGTTATGATAGATTATCCACACAACATATTTTATATGTGTATCCACTGGTGAATTTGACCAACAATTGCTTGTCTGGTGTTGTTGTTTGGTTCTTTATTGTTGAAATGGTATGAGGAAATGGAGTGGGCAATTGTTAATATTGTTTTATATCAATTAGGGCATTTGTATGAATATTTTATGAATTAGGACATTGTATGAAATGTTGGGATTTGTGAGGATCTCGTTATGTACAAGTCACGAATTCAATAGCAAAAGTAAACTTATGCGCAGCGGATCTATAGGTTTAACGTGGAAAAATTTACGGCTTAAAAATTATGAATCTGGCAGATTCAGGATGACCGGGAACAACAGTCGGAGAAGCCGAGATCGTGGAGGTGGCGGGATCAAGACGTCGCGGGGCCGCAGTCGTGGTCGGCAGTCCATCGCGGGTCGCGGTGGTTGCGGTGGTCGTCGGTCATCGGGGTCAGCGTCGCGACTTCGGGTCGTGGCTCGTCGGCTCCAAAGGATGATCACGAAGTCTCGATTACCTCGGGATCTTCTACTGTATTACTGACACACCTCTTTAACTTCTATCTGTGGAGTAACAAGAAAAAGATAAAGTTCGAACATAAATCTAGAGAGAGAGAGAGGGCGTGCGTGTATATGTATCTGCACGTAGGAGAATTCTGATCTATTCTTCTCTTTTCCATGAGCTTAATGATGGATATATAGAGCTACATTAGGGATCCTTAAGAGAATAGGAATAAGGCTTCTTAAGTAAAGGACTAACTGTGGGCAAAGTCTACTCTTCCAAATTACTTCAACAATATTACGGTCCACTAACGTAATATTATTGCACTCCCTTTTCCAATCTCAAATTAAATTTGAGACTCAAATTCTAGTTATGCGAATTACCTCCTCATGTTTAAGATATAATGTCCATTAGTTAATTCGATTACTGATAATCAAGGATTAATTAATATATTATATTACCAGAGGTAGCGCTCATTCATTGCATTATTATTATGCCGGAATTTAATCCACCTGTAGCGTTTAGCATAACAATCCTTCATGAACTAACTTCGGGGACATCATCAAACTAACGCACACGGTGACCGTAAATATCCTAACATCACATCATACATACAAAAATATTACCCAAGACAGTAAGACTATATATCCAGCGAACTGAACCTCACCCAATTGGATCAAAGTAATAAATAATTCTTGTATATGTCTATTTAATAACTTACGAGTTAATAAAACGCAGTACTTAACTAAGGTCTAATTCGTTTACGACGATCAATATAAAATGAACTTCTCCTCTCTAGGATT